TGCTGAAGTACGAGACGCTCTTACTGTACAGTTTGTATTTGAGACACTTGTATGGGCAAAGTTCATTGTTATCGAAGGAACTGTGTGAAAAAGCTATAAAGACTGAAGAAATCTCATATTTCACATGCAGGTGTGATCAGCCTTGTAATCTGGGCAAGGGTTAATCTGTGTTTTCCCTGTTTAGGTGTGTAAGTCTGTGTCTTTGTGTGGGTGTGTGATTTGCTTTTGTTAGATTTATTTATGGCTTTATTGTCTATACTCGTATTGGTATTGCAAAAGAATATTAATTGTTCGCATTTGTGATATGTGTAGGGATTATACATATATATTATTTTGTGTGCTATATGTCCCATCTGTTCTGTCTACTATTGTAGCTATCATTCTCATCATTATTTTCTTCCCAATTCCCCCTTTTTTTTCTTCTCTTCTTCTTTTCTTCACTTGGGTGGGTTGGATTTGGGATTTCAGTGGGTCAGATACACACCTTCAGCACTACCTGTGATGCATCATATTATATTTGCGTTACTATGAATTACTGTGACGTAAATAACGATAATAATAAAATAAAGGAACAACAGATGTTGGTGTAGGATTACAATAAAAACTTAATTTTCAGTTCTCTGTAATTGATTGTTACTTTCTTAACTCATTGAATGGGCAGTAACCACCAGTTGCAAGTTTGATTTTAGCCTAGATTGAACGTAAACATTCAGGCGAGCTACTTAAAATGACAAGATTTTGCTTTTTTTGCTGGTGTAAATTGTAAATTTTAAGGTATAACTTAAGGCTACGCTGAAACTGTTATATGGTGATAAAAAAAAAATTCAGATGGGGGTTCCATTTGTAAGGTGGGAAACTTAACACTGACAGCAAATTTGTCCAGCAAATGTGTGTTCAGCAAATTCAGTGCTGATTATTTAGCTTTCGTTGCTAATTTGTTGTCAAATTTATCACAAAGCTATTCCAGTTTGAACATCTCCAGACTGAGGACCGCAAGCAAGCCAGCTATTGTAATTATCCCTACTGAATCTGAAAATTGCGTCCTTTAATTTAGCCAACTTTTACAGGAAGAGGCCATTTAACTGACATGCAGAGTGACAACGACAGCTGATATTTTTTACGTTGCGCAGGAGCAGACGTGTCAAGACGGTGCTAGAGCAAAACCAATATGTCGAAAGCAGTGTATTACAATAACTTGGTTCTCAGTCTCCAGGCTGTATCTTCCATCAGAAGACTCACAGCTATGCAGTGTACAAAACTGCTTGCTGCTGGTGAGTTTCCACATTTAGGTTAAACGGTAGTTAAGATTATGTTTAATAGTGTAATAATGTGTAACTGTAAATAAATTTCACACACTTGTCAGACTTTTTTAAAATTTTGGATTAATCTTTTTTTTTTGTTTCTTGTCGAGTACTCCACCATACAATTACTCTAAACCATCAGTAGTTGAATTACGACTAATTGGACAGATATACTTTAACTGGACTGTGTTTAATACTAAAAAATGTTAGCTCCCTTACTCTGTTAATTTCGTGGCTGTAGTATCTTCTGCTTGTCATTAGCAGTGGTAAATGGCTGTAGACAGTCATTCTATGCAACCATTTTGATCTACGATCTGTGATAGATACAGTGCACCGTAAATGTTTGTGTTGCAATCGAAATTCTGTATGTTGCTCATTTTAAGCCAGCTTCTCTCAACATATGGTTAACATAGACTTTACCCCCTAATTTATGACTAAACTTACAGTCAGCTGACACAGCTGACTAAACTGGACATGGAAGTGACTTGTTACCTTTCCCTCACCTGATAGCAACCATGTCACAGCTCTACCTTTCATCAATATCATTCTCATAGTACCATTTTGTCAGACATCCCCTTCAGGCCGAAATAATACACAAACCCTGTGTGCTTGTGTTTCACCGTTATGCAACCTGGCCTGTCTGATTATACAATGAAGATTATCTTGCACACTCTGAGCACCAACAATGACTAGATGATGGCTGCTCTAAGGCACAGGATGCATCACAATATTTGCATTCCAAAGAACAATTTATGACCTATTTTATGAGCTCTTTGGACGTTTCCTTTTGCCACGCATTACTTGTTAAAACGTCTTTTTGTAGCTTGTTTTGTGCGTGACTAAGAGACGGGAATTTCCCCACCCATTATTTCTGTACTGAAGTCTCTCGGCTGCAAATGCCTGGATTTCCCTGTTCTACTTTAGAGGCTAGGTGGTCTTGCAGCACGTGGGTGATTTATTGAAAGGGAGCAGTCCTCTTTGGCCGTTGATCCAACAGCTCGATAATATAGATGAGCACTCTGCACTGTTGCAGAGATTTAATTTGGCTACGACATGAGATAAAACGCATTGATTTGAAGACGCCGTTCAGGTTCTCTTCCACTGCCTGATTGGCTGCCATAGTAGTGTTGTTATCTGATTGGCTAAACCTCTATGTTTTACTTTTGTGTATTAAATGTGTAAATAGGAATAGCAAAAGTTTTCAATAGAATTGATCAATTAAAGCTTTTTCCCTGTAAAGACACAAATCTACATCAACGTGTCAGTAGATTGTGCAATAAATGGCATGAATCTACTTAAATAATATTCCATAACACCAAGAATAGTTTCTAAATTTCTAAAAGAATGAATCCTTTTATAACTTAAACACTCACTTTCTCATTCACATTTAGCAGACTAAAGAATCTCCATAAGGAGGCTGTGTATAAGGTAATACTGTTATCACTAATTGCCATTGTGTTGATTATTGAAAGGGAAGAAACTGGCATGCACCCACATCAGCGGGAAGCAGAAGAGGTGTAGAAGTACACAAATGCAGAGTAAATTTAGAGCTGCTGCCATTGTAGTATGACAAATGTTTACTGATGTGAAAAAGGTCCTTTGATCAGAGTAATTATACTTCAGCTAGGATAAAGAAAGGCTATAAAGCACCAGTGGTGTTTTGCATCAGACAGTGCACTTTCTTGTTTTAGTATGACGGTGTAATTCTCACAGTCAGCTAACCCATGTGCCTTTACTGACCTGCAGGGCTGCGCATGCCATAAAGTACCCAGAAGTACAGCAGAATTTCTGTAAAGAGAAGTGTTCGCTAAAAGAATAAATGTGAACATGTCCGAATGGTATTACACAAAATATTTTGTACTTTTTTAACAAATTTTTTAGAACAATCTTCCCCTCATTTCCAAATGTCCATTTCCAACAGGGCTCCAGTCTTTTTCTTTAAGCTCTTTTTTTTTTGTAGCCGTTTCTCTATCTTTTTGACCCTTGTTTCATTTGATTCAGAATTTTACATGTTGATATTACTAATTGAGCTTACAGAGAAAGGTGTTTCTCACAACCACCATGAGTTGAGGTTTGAGTCGTCTGCTGCAGGGAAGGAAAGCGAGAGGAAAGAGAGAGGTGTTTCATCACCACAGCTGTTCTCTCCTGAAATAGAATAAAACGCCACCACCCGAAAACGCCCATGATGTATAAATGAACGCTTTTGTTCTTTGCTGGAATTCAAGAGAGAACAGGAGAAAATGGATTTGTTTGCAAACAAACCGCATCCTTCAGTGGCAAATCCTGAGCATGTTTTTCAGTGGTGTGTTGAGTTACTTTTTGAGCTACCTGGAGGTAGCAGTTTAGTCTTAAGATGAGATGAGTTTTACGGTGTCTGGATCATCACAGATTTCACTATGCAGTTGAGTAATATATATATTTGAAATCGTTTCTAGTTGGCATTGCTGGCTTTTCTGTACTTGGTTACCCTTTCAGCATGAGCACGTTCAGTGATGTGTTAGGGACGTGACTTTGAAGGCAGACTAGGCTGACTATGCTAGCTGATGTTAGCTATGTCCAGACACAGCGTTTTTTGTCTAACATGACACTGGTTAGCTTGAATACACAGCCTCCGTAACACATCCAGCTGTTTTTGAATAACACAGCATGTTCCTGTCTGTGCAGCTATATTGTTATGCAGCACCATTGCTGTTACTTTAAAGGCCTACATTATTATCTGCTGAAGTCAATCAGAGCAGATGCTGTGTGGTCTCAGGAACGTCAGTTTTGTTCAGTTCTATAAAGTGCCGCTGCTCGATCAACTATTTCATTGGTTAACCAATAATCCAAATTCTGAAATGGATCCTAGACAGTCAGATACCATCACAATTTCACCAAGCAAATACTGTGAAAATGATGCAATTGGAGATGCTGTACAGTACTGCACAAAATGATTATTTGATATTTGACATGCTTTAAATTCATTGAAATTTGTTGTAAAATATTCATTAACTTATGATTTATGATTGTAAGTTGCTTCTCTAGAAATGAAGCTCATAACCCTATGTAAACACAGGCTTCATTCAGTCAGGATTTGCATACGAGCATGTAATAAATCTAAACTACAGACATCAGTGTCCACCATTAACATTGGAAGTATAGCTTATCTGCGTTAGGCTCAAATGTTCCTATTGCTAGAAACATTTGGGCTGATCCCTGCAATGCTGTGATAGTAGACAGTATAGAGCTGTATCTGAGGAATTCTGTAGTTAATTTTAATTGACACACTGGCATGGACACCAGTGGTCTAAATGCGAGTGCTGAGTTCAGTAGAGCCAAACATTTTCAAGTAATCCAAGTACAATAATAGACCCCTCTTAGAGCTATAGACATGAGTTTACCTTCACTGGCGATTTTGATGCAACAGCACCACCAGTTTAGTATGGTGACTTGTGGAAGTGCAGCTTGTTATTGAGCTATGCAGGAGAGAAAGAAGTGCACTATCCACTTTTATACCCTGGCAGCAGTGTACATGCTCATGTCTCTCTTGGCAGGGAGAGCTGTTAACCCAGTTTAACAGCACGAAGGGCTTTTTATACACCCTGTGATTCTGCGAATCCCCTGAGCAGAAACCTCTCATCTGCATTCTTTTTTGCCCAATATCATTACTGTTATTGACTCTCATGCTAAGTGGGTGTCATGTGTCTCTCTTTTCTGCAGGCTTGTGTCCTGTGTGCTGACCTCATGGTGTAAGCAGGTGTAAAGATGAGCATAAGCAGTGATGAGGTCAACTTTCTGGTGTACAGATACCTACAGGAGTCAGGTATGTTTGCTTAATTTCCCAAAGACTTACAAGTGGCTCGTTTAAAGAAACCAAACTCTTCAAAGTTGCATAAGTTATTAATCTGGCCATTTCTTATTCTGGAGAAGTATGTTTTGGATTTGTAAATTTCAGATTCCGTTACTGGCCAGCATCTGTGTTTACCATTAAACAAAAACGCACAATCAGGACATTGTTGCGCTTGAGCACACGTTGTGCCTTCTCTGAGGCTCTGGCATGAGAGTAAGGCGGTCCCTGTGAGAGACGCACACTGATGTGTTTGTCGTTCCCCCACTGGCAGGGTTTTCCCATTCAGCCTTCACGTTTGGCATAGAGAGCCATATCAGCCAGTCCAACATCAACGGAGCCCTAGTGCCCCCTGCTGCCCTCATCTCCATCATCCAGAAGGGCCTGCAGTATGTGGAGGCAGAAGTTAGCATCAATGAGGTAAGATGGAGCTCAGTTTGTTTAATATAATTTAGCTTTATGATTACCAGTTATTACTTTTTTGTGGACACATTGGGCTTCATTCACCAACCGTTCTTTAGAAGAAATTTCTCCTTCTTAAAAACCTCTTACACAGTTTTCACGAAGATGCTGACATTCACCAGCGTTTTCTTATTTGGGATTTAAGAATAAGAATAGAATCTATTCACACTCAAGAGCACAAAGGTGCGAACAGTTTTGCACTTTAAGAACACGTCATGAATTTGACTTGAACTTTTTTTCGAACCTTTCTCAAGAACAAATTTAAGAAGAAACCTAGGAAGATATTGGTGAATGAGGCTCATTGTTTTTTTTTTTTTATTTTTTTTTGCGAATTTTAAAATGTTTACGTTTCTATGCATAGAAGGAGGAGCTTGTACACGCTTGTTCAGTGGAACATTCATAAAAAGGCCCCACAAGGCTTCACGATATGTTTGCTTAATTGCTATTGTATTTGGCTTTGCAATATTGAAATCACATGTTACAATATGCAAAGGAGCCCTCTAACAAATCACAGAATTTGTCAAGAATGGTCAAGCAAACACATTTTTGATCAAATAAATCAAGCCAGACGTTTATCTTGTCTCATCAGTGGTCTGTCTGTTTGATTTTTTTTGTGTTGCATATTGCAAGCATATTACAGTTGTAGTCTGCAGTGAAATTAATGCAATATTGTTCATAAGGCAATACTATAAACACTCCTTTTACAATCAGTGAAGCAGTACAAATTTTTGACAGACACCGTTTTTATGGTTTCTATTTTTGAGGTGTCGTCCTGATGTTCCACCTCAACAAAAATACTGCGGTTAAGCCATCTGCTTTTGGCCAAAACACAAAAATAGCCAAAAATGGATGCAGAGAAACTAATCCAAAGGGATTAGTTTTAAGAAGAAAAGTGCTGTAACACTTGTTTTCAGTTTTATAAGGACTTTAACCAGAGTGTAGTTCAGATCATTATACCAACATTATTTCCTTATCATATTTCTTATTTAAGCTCAGGTGTACATTGAGGAGAATCTTCATTTCTTTAATGCAGCCGAGCGTCAGCGGGAGTAAAAAACATTAAAATGAAAACAGATTAAGAACTTGTCTGACAGTAAAGTTTAGTGATGAACAGTAAAACACTAAGACAATAAGAGAATAAAATAGTAAAAAAGGATTTGAAATAAAATACAATAAGAAAGGTAACTAAAAACAGCTAAACAAAAGTCAAAGCAAGCAAACGAAAAAAAGCAAATCAAGAACAACAATGAGCTGAAAGTAATTTAACCTACTGTTGCACAAATGTGAAATGTGTAGCTAAAATATCCTAATCTTGAAAAATAGATGGCACTCATAGCTGAGGCTATTAGCTGATGGGTCTGTAGTTTGTTTATGTGAACTTAACACGCTTCCTTATTATTTCTAGTGTACACATCCTGAATGCTTTACGACGCAATATGACACTACGTTTGAGCACTCGCTTGCAGTTAGGATAAGGTGTCAGTCTCCTCAGTCAGTCTGAGTGCCTCTTGTCTAATGGCTACTGAAGCATAAGTGCTGAGTTTTTTTCCCGTCTGCAGGATGGCACGCTGTTTGACGGCCGGCCGATCGAGTCTCTGTCGCTGATTGATGCGGTAATGCCGGATGTGGTACAGACGCGACAACAGGCATACCGAGACAAATTGGCCCAGCAACAGGCCGCTGCAGCACCCCCTGCCACCAGCGCCAATATGCAGGGCAACGCCAAAAATGGAGAAAACACCGCCAACGGAGAGGAGAACGGTGCACATGCCTTACCCAGTGAGCTTAACTCTTCTTTCTTGTCAGTTACAACATTACATTTTTGACTTTTAAGTAAACCTTAAATTTGCTATGACATAAATACTGATTTAAATCTGTTAAATGTTTAATGTAATAATCCAGGCTTAAGACTAGATTATTACATCTTAAGACGTAATATTCACAAACTAGATTCGAAATCAACGCAAACTGTCTGAGATATTCTGAAGATATAGCGGTCAGAAATGGAGCCTGGGCCTGCCAGCGAGTCCTGGACATTTAAGGGTTTAAATGCATTCAAATGCTACCCAGTACTCGAATGAATATACATCAAAAGTAAACGATTTAATGGTCAGATCTTTTTCATAGAAGTGTTTGACCTCCTAGCTTAAACTATAGCATGATTGGGAGAGCATTTATCCTCTTGAGCTAATAGTGATGAATCTCTATTCGTGTATGTCTAATTCCCCCCGTCTGTGCTGTGCTCTGTGCAGATAACCATGCAGACATGATGGAGGTGGATGGGGATGTGGAGATCCCGCAGAATAAAGCCATGGTGCTGAGGGGCCATGAGTCTGAGGTGTTCATCTGCGCCTGGAACCCTGTCAGTGACCTGCTTGCTTCTGGGTCAGTCTCTCACCAACTGCTCCCCTCTCTCGCTCTTCATGTGCTGCTCTGCTGTTCCTGCCTAGCCTCCTGTCTTCCCTTCATCTGTATTACTGCTCAGATGCTTGGAACCATGTGTCCAAATAATCATTTGTTTTATATAAAATAATACTAAAGCTAGTCAGCGCAGACACGTTTAAACACTTTGAGCTGCAGATCAACAGTAAAATACTCACAGTCCACTGCAGCTGTGCTCAGTGCAGTCTTTAGCTGACTTGTTTTTTAGCATTAACTGATTTAATTAAATTCTTTAACTCAATATCTTTTGGCTTTTACTTCTTGTTTCGAAATAACACTTGAGTGACTAATGAGCTAATAGGGCCCCCTGCTGGAGAAACTTCAGACTGACAGGTGGAAGTTCCAAAGCCATGTCCAAATGCTTTACATATTAAAAAAACATTTCCACTGTTATAGCGGAGTCGCTTTGGAATTCAGCTTTGGGGAACCATGCAGTATTATACTTTCTAATTTTTCAAATTTTAATATTTATAAGCAAGATTAAACTAGTCCTCCAGTCCTCTTGTCTTTCCCAACATGGCGATTGTCATATTTGAAGCATCTTCAGCATTGTTACGGTCGTTCAAAAGCATAAATAAGATGGTAAATTATACCTTTTTTCTGGTTTTCTGTGTATCCTTAATTGCGGTTTCTGTCAGGAATTTTCATTTCTGTACGTTGCTTCCTTTGTCGATTGGCCATGTTGTAAACAGAGTGGCAGCACACAGCTACAGTCTTTCTGTTGTCTCTTGCTCATTTCCCCTCTCTCTTCACAGGTCTGGGGACTCCACTGCTCGTATATGGAACCTAAGTGAGAACAGTACCAGCAGCTCCACACAGCTAGTCCTCAGGCACTGTATACGAGAGGGCGGCCAGGATGTCCCCAGCAACAAAGACGTTACATCATTAGACTGGAATGTAAGTCCTGCTTATGCTGTGCGGTGCTTTTCTGCTTCTTCTCTTTTGCTGTTGGCAAGTTTGACATGTCTGTTGTTTTATTCACAGAGTGAGGGTACATTATTAGCCACAGGCTCTTATGATGGCTTTGCCAGAATATGGACTAAAGATGGTGAGTGCGTCTTCATTCTGCTTCAAACAAGATAACACTTTGTGCTGGTGTTATTTAATAATGAGATAATGTCTGTTACAGGGAATCTTGCCAGTACTCTGGGTCAACATAAAGGTCCTATATTTGCGTTGAAATGGAACAAAAAAGGAAATTTCATCCTTAGTGCTGGTGTAGATAAGGTAAGTACAGAGTCCTCTTTGGTGAGGCTGTTTGTCTTATTAGCTTTGTTAAATGTGCTGATTGGTGTGTTTGTTTGTTCCAGACAACAATTATTTGGGATGCTCATACAGGAGAGGCTAAGCAGCAGTTCCCCTTCCATTCAGGTACTTTTCTGTCTACATTATTACATTCAGATCAGACACGAGTGGTCAGTAGAGGAAATGAAAGACCATCCATCCCAAAATAAAAAAAGAAATGCAAAATTGAAAATGTCTTGTGAAACATCAAGTAAACGCAAAATCTCCATTTTACAAATGGAAAACATGGCAGTGTCTGAGCCGCTGGCACTGTGTATGGTTTAGTGTAGCAGTGGGGAAGCGAGTGCGTCCTTCTCTCAGCCCTGTTCAGTCTCTTTAATCCTTTATTTTTTCTGCCTGTTCTATTCTAAGATATGAAAAAAAATGAAAGCATACAAGGAAAAGCCTCCCCCCATGCAATCATCTCTCACTTACAGGACGACTGAAGGAAAAAAAAAGTGTAAATGAGGGCTGGAGCAATTATTTGACATTATCAATTATATCAAGCATAAAAAAAATGACAAATTTCTATTGATATATATATATTTTTTTTACATTTTCAAAGTGACATCTAAGCTAAATTGAGTTAACAAATTAACAGATAATCAAAGAAAAAGAACAATTATTGCTGAACATTAAAAATGATTTATAAACATAAATTTCAAGGGAAAAAAAATGCCATCAGCTCATTCTGGAAACCTACTGACATATAAAATGTTGTGGTCTGAAGAGCTATAATGTTAATCTACATATTTACTATTATTTATCTACGTGTTGTGGGTATGTTCAAACAAAGATTTACATTTTTTTCCTTGGTGGTAGTTGAGCTCTGTACCTCAGTTTGTCAACATTGCTAGACACTTTATTGTTGCTGTTCTTCATATTTTAGGCCACATTTAAGCTGATTAATCAATTATTAGTTGATTGATTCTCATGAATAATCAAAAATCAAGATTTGTTTTGCAGCCCTAGTAAAAATACCTTAAATACATTGAAAGGAATCACATCTATTCTCAGTCTGATATCTCTGCTGTTCCTGATCGCAGAGTTTGGTATTTTTATATTATATGTGTACATGATGGTATGTATGACTTTAAGGAACTACAGTGCTTAGGTGATGATGCCAGACATGGCATTTTTATCTGGAGGTGACACTGATATACCAGTTTTTCTGAAGGAGAGTTGTACTTGAGCTAAAGTAGCCTGGGGTGAATAAAGCCATGTGAAAAACAACAACTCACTCACTTGCTCTCTCTCTCTCTCAGCTCCTGCTCTGGATGTGGACTGGCAGAGCAACAACACCTTCGCCTCCTGCAGCACGGACATGTGCATTCATGTGTGCAAACTGGGCCAGGACCGACCCATCAAGACATTCCAAGGACACACAGTAAGCCCTGTCTGCCGGTTAGCCTCCATGCTGCTCCAGTTGGCAGTGTTTTGCCAAAAAAAGATGTGTTCTCAGACTTGTTCTCTTTCTCACTCCTCCAGAATGAAGTAAATGCAATCAAATGGGATCCGACTGGCAACCTGCTGGCATCCTGTTCTGATGACATGACGCTGAAGGTAGGCTCATAAGTGCCTAAAAAGTTTGCACTGATTTTGGCTTTTACCAGGTTCTTCACTTACTGGCCATTTTGTCAGAAGCACCTACCATATGGGTGTACTGTGTAGGTTTTCAGTTACTGACTGTAGCCCATCTGTTGCTGCACACTGTACCCTGTCCGTCAGTGGAAATAAACCCCCACAGGACCACTGCTGATGAGATTTTATTTGGGTGGTGAACCATTTTCAGCCCTAAAGCCATTATATGGCTTTGCTGTTAACGTTGGCCGATATTTAAACTTGTATTTATCAACTGATGTTTATCAGTTTTTGTTTGGTGCATGAGAATTCAAACTTGTAATATCTCAGTTATACAGCGAAATGTTACTACTTGGGAGCCCCTTTTTGACATCCATGATGGCAATATATGGTAAACTGGTAAACATAAAACAGTACCATGGTTAAAATAAGAAAAACATTGCAAATGTACCCAAACCAGCCTTTAGCACAGGATACAACACATATGGTTCTGAAGAAGAGAGATGAAAAATATTAGGAAATTAACTGAAACCAAAGCCAAATTCTGGGGAATGCTGTACTACAATAAAAATTCACCACTCAAAATCCTGTGTAGTTCAAGACTCCCCAAGAAACCAGCCCTCTGAGTTTCTGCTGTTTAATAAATGTGAAAATGGAGAACTGATAATTATATCTGTTAGTGAACCACGGTTTAATTAACACTGGAGTATAATATTAAATATAAATGTTCAAAATGTGTCATCAGATATCAGTTACCAGGATTTTTAGCCCCTTAAAATAGTTATGGATATTGGTTACACAATTTTCATGTGGAATGGCCAATGACTGTAAGAACAGTGAAGGTGTACCTAATAAATGTGCACACCGTATGAAATTCGTACTTTTCATCTATCTGAAGCTGTTTTTTTGTATGATTTCAGATCTGGAGTATGAAGCAGGACACATGCGTTCATGACTTACAAGCTCACAGCAAAGAAATATACACTATCAAATGGAGCCCAACCGGCCCTGGCACCAACAATCCTAATGCCAATCTTATGCTTGCCAGGTAGGCTCTACACTGCATCCCATTCATACTAATTACTTTACACTGAAGCTAACTCACTGTATAATGATGTGATCTATTATTATTTTTTTTTAAATTCAGTGCATCCTTTGACTCCACTGTTCGGCTATGGGATGTAGATAGAGGCATCTGCATTCACACGTTAACCAAACACCAGGAGCCAGTGTACAGTGTGGCCTTCAGTCCTGACGGCCGCCATCTGGCCAGCGGCTCCTTTGACAAGTGTGTACACATCTGGAACACACAGGTAAGACCTCCTGTCGCCAACCCTGCACAGCCAAAGCAAGACGAGATGCGGGGCCTAACTCGTTTAGTGGGTAGAATAAAAGGTGTAACATGACAAACATAAACTTATGAAGAAAAAATAATGATATGGCCTCATCTGAAAAATGCCAGTGTGAGGGTTCTGTACTGCAGGTTGTGAAACGTGATATTGAGGCTGCATGATCACAGCTGTAAAACACAGTATGGCAACATATTTTCACAATTGCCTGGCACAGACCAAATTTGGCATGAACCTTACTTGAAAAAGTTATGTGTGCTTTGAAATACACAGACAGACAGACGGATAGATAGATAGAAGGAAACATTATGTTGTAATTTTTTGAACAGGTTTTGGACAGAGTGTGCAGTAAAAGTGTAAAAGTATGTGCAGTGAAAGTAAAATGTCAAAGTATACTAGAAAAAATGTGCATTATTATAACAATAAACACTGAATAAAACAGACTTTTCAAAAGAAAAATGTATTTTATTACGAAAGATTAGATGTTGTGCCCTATAGAAAACAAAAAAGCGTTAGCCCTATAATCAGACGATGTCCAGTATTTTAAGTCACTCTGGATAAGAGCATCTGCTAAATGACTAAATGTAAAAGCAAATAAAATTTGACCAAAGATAAAATCCTGTGAAAAAATGTCATGGAAGTTAAAGTACCCAGTGCTTTGGATTTGGGATTTGGCACCAGATTTTACTAAATAAAACTGGCATCTGAAAGCTTTCCATTTTGTTTCCACAGACTGGTGCTTTAGTTCATAGCTACAGGGGAACAGGGGGCATTTTCGAAGTTTGCTGGAATGCAGCTGGTGACAAAGTGGGGGCAAGTGCATCGGATGGCTCTGTAAGTATTCACTTCTCCGTATTTCATTTTTCTGAGGGATCTCTGCCATAATATGGAAGTACATTAAATGTTCTGGATTACATGAATAAATACTTTTTTTTTCTTTTTTTTTAGGTTTGTGTATTAGATCTGAGGAAATAACGCTGCTTGTTGGAAGCCATGGACCGACTATGAATGTGTACATAGCCAAAATGACTGTCCCTGCCCCATGTACTGCTACAATCCCTATTGTACCATGGCCAGCCACTACAGACAGGAAAACAAGCACCCTGACACAGACCAAGCAGAGTGGACGTGATTCCAACCAGAGACATAAAAGGGACTTTTGTAAGTAACATCGGTGGGGGAAAAAATACAAAAGAAGACGAAGAAAAAAGGACTGGTATATTTACCAAATTTGGAAGATATTTTACTATTTGTTCTTCAAACCAATCTCATCGAAATAAACGAGCGAAAAGATTTTAATCTTTGTTGTTAGTTCCATTTCAGTGTGCACACATATCTGCTTTTTTCTATTTTCTTTTTCTCAACTTTTGTGTTTTCTCTTTCTTGCTCTATCAACACTTGCGTTTTTTAAGGTCACAGCTGCATGGAATAAGGACTCATTTTTCTCTCTTTTTTACACAGAATACAGTTATTTAAAGTCTTTTGGTACTTTACATTTTGTGGTTCAAAAAAGACAAAAAAAAAAACGTGGGGACTTGAAACCGTTTAACTTTTCTTTATTCTTCAGTTGTAGTTGCTTTGGTTAAACTGTTCAAGTCCGAATGCAGTCGTTTAAGGTTTGGTTGTTGTTTTGTTTTTTGTTTTTTGTTTTTTTTTCTGAAGGAGGCATAAATTCTGCTGAACTAAAATAGATACTTAAATAATAGGGGCGCACATTTTAAAGGGATGCATAGTGCATTATGTTATGTTTGGTTTGTGCAGTATTGTTGGAGCAACAAGATGTTAACTGTAGGCCGAGTTAACTGCTGTAGCTACTCCTTAGATGTTTCCTGTATAGCATTTAAGAGCAGGCTTACCTTTCCAAAATGTACTTCTCATGGGAAACAAAGGAAAGATCATCTGGATGGAACAATTGAAGACTAAAACTGGGCAACTTGTAGGACTGTTCTTGAGTATTGAGATGAAAAGGGAAGACTTGCTTTAAGTTTCACAATTTTTCTGTTCACTGGCATTTTCAATGATGGCATCTTCATATTCGTTAGGCAAATTGCCTGGGTTTCTGTTGGCAACATATTAGTGAAAATTCATGCGAATCATAATAAGGCTTGCATATTGACTTAAAGCAGTCCTGTAGCAAAGATCTTTGGCAGATGCCTACTCTGTAGTGTTAACCACATCTGTTCATTTGTCAAAAGTTTGCTTGCTAATCAAGCAAAGCAGCCCTTCATTGTCCATACTGAACATATTTACTTCACTCACAATGATCTGTTTCGTAATTCAGGAATTGTAGCACTTCACCATAAACAAATCAATAGTAATCTCCTGTTGCGCCTTCCTGTCTGTTACACTCTGAAATATGTAATATTTGGAGGTTTCTCAGTGATACATCAGTCATTTATTTTATTCAATACTGAATTTGTACTAGTGCTGACTATTAGCTTACTCCATCCAGCAGTATGTAAGCATAGCAAAATATTGGATATGGTGCAGGTCAGTGATGGAAGTCAGGGAGGGATTAGTAGAGCATATTGTTTCACAAAAACATGAAAGAGCAGTACGCACATATACAAACTTACACAAACTAGTGAAAAAAGTAGCAAATATCAGTGACTGAAAGCAATGTCAAGTTTAAAAGGAAAACCTGAAGCTTAAGGCAAGTCTTAAGTACTTGGTTGGAAATTAAAATGAGTGAAAAATGTCAAATTCTGTCTTAAAATTCTTAATTTAATTGCCCCTCATTTATTATGCAACAAAAACACGTTTTGTGGCACAAACAAAACTCCAATCCTGGTAAATCATCCATGTTCAACTCTGCTTCTGTTGCAAATCCTGAAAGTAAAAAAAAATACTTTTTTACCTCACTTTAATTCTTTATCAGTGTTAGGGAGTCAATAAAAATATACTTTATGCTGACAGAGCAGAATTGGCTATCAAGCTCCAAGGCATTTATAACAGAGCCTGCATCATCGTTTTATGGCCCCAATGATAAACTGTCTCCATTTTTAAAGCCTTATATGTTGACGGTTTAATTTTAGGGTATTGCTTGATATATGAACTTACGTTTTATACAGAGCGTAGTACTTAGAGACCTGTATAAAATCGTCTACTTTAAGTAGACTCTACCATCTGAACACTATTTATTACACAGTCATTGGCCGTGGAAAGGTATTTTAGTTTTCTCTTCCTCCATAATCTGCTCTCCCAGTGTCTGCTTGCCCACCTCTTTTCATTTTTGTCACTATCGAAATTCTCATCATAATATGGTGTCCCCACCCCCCCTGAACTTTTTGTACTCTTTTAGTACTTTTGTAATTCATATTTCTTTGTAGCTATATTAAAAAAAAAGTATGACTTGGAAAACTTGGACACTTGGACCGTGTACAGTACTGAACCCAGTTTGAGCATTCTGGGTTGGAAATGTTATCAGCAGTGCCCACCCTCCACCTTCTGTTTTCCCAGTCAAACGGTTCTTTTGGTTGCTGATCCCCCCCGCTCCCCCCCCCTTGCACCTTGCATTGCATTGATTTGTTGTCATTTAAATCAGATCAAAGTCCAAAATAAAACTATATTTTGATATTACCACAAGTGTTATTCTCTTTTCCTTTGTGATGCTGAAAAAAAATATTGCATTTATTTTGGGAGTAGGCAGATGGTTTCTTAAAACATGAGTTTAATAAATGTTCAAAATATGCCATAAATATGTATACAGCAGAAAATGGACTGCAGCCGGGAGTGGATACATCATGCGCAATATTCTGCTTATGAGGTGGGTGACTGCCAAACAATTAGCATAATTATTTATGAGTTCAGTTATGATACAATACAAATCATACCTTAAAAAGACACTACATATGGGCGTAGTTATGATGAGCTGAAACAACTCGCCAAGAACCAACAAAGCTGCCTGATGAAGTGAATGAAATCCAAATGCCAACAACATTATTTGGGTTGTGTCCCTTTTTGTGGTGCTCAGATTTACTGGCACCATAAATTTCATTAATCAATAAATAAATCACTCCGCATAGCTTCTGCCAATATTGACGATGCTGTTTCAACAGTTACACATTTATAATTGAAGCCAATATAAATATGCTGCACAATTATGTTTACTTGCAATCAATTATGAGTGGTGTTGCTTGTTCCTATTTTTGACAATTACATAATTCTAAACATGCTATTGTATTTGACAGCAAAGAAAAAACATGCAATTTTAATTTGCAAGATTGTGTGTAATGTCTTAAAGTAAGCATACATGAGCACTGCAATTACTACTCTCACTTAAGAAATCAAGTGAGGTTAGTAATCCCTGTACATTGGTAATAGGGGTGTAAATCTCAGATGACCTAAAAGATTCGTGACAGATATTTAGGGAAAAAATGCATTGAATACACAAATGTGGAGGAATTATTTACACAGCAGTGTAATACAAAAGTCTGTGCAAAAGTCAGAGACCACCCTTCATTTATTTGATTTCTAGCTAAAATAGCTATTAAGTACATGTTATTCATTTTTCAGCTTGAGGAAAAAAGTAAAACTTCTATACTTTGAGAAACTACCTTTCAGGTCTGAGCTCTGGGGTGGTCAGTTCATTGCTCTGAGAAAACCAGCAGCTTCTTTGTTTGATTTCCAACTTTTAGCTTATTCCCTTTTCTCAGTAACAGCTTCCTGACAGCTACACATCCTTTCAGACCCATAAGCGTTGAGTTGCCTTCTCACAGTGGAAGGACAGACAGAAACATCTGGATTTTTTTTTCAGATCTGAAGCTTGATTTTCTCCTCTCTGTCAAAGATGAAATCTTTAAAAACTGTTTATATGAGAGAGACTGTTTGGGTAGTCTACCAGCTTATGCACGGTTATTATTCCCTACATCTTTTAATAAATAACTCTGATTTTTCACTTATTTTCCTTGACCTCCCCCTTCCTTTTACAAGTGGATTGTCTGTTTTTCCAAGGACATTAGATGTATCTTCTGGAAAATTAATAATAAATGGTGTTCTCTGACTTCGCACAGCACTGTAGAAAATAAAAACATATACCAAGCTTTTCTTCGAACCAAACATTTCAAAATGAATGCATTTTTACTCCTATAATGTATATTCCGTATCACATACAGTTGTTCAGCTCGTTTGGCACATGACTCTGGCTCAGCATGTATGGAAGAAACTGTTCATCCCTGAGGACTCAGCAGCAGAGGCTGTAGAACATCTCGCTCTACTTGACATGCAGTGTGCAGGGGTCTCTTTGGACTAAACTTGACCGTTATCCTCAGTCCACCCCCCAGCTCTCACAGCAGAGACGTGTTGGTGTGCAGGGAACGGGACAGGGTCTTCGATACGTCCAGCAGGCTCTGGGAAACGTCGTAAGCCACGGCAAAGAGGAAGTAGACTGGCAGGAGCCAGTGGAGCCTGAAGAGCTTCTCTCCTGCTGGCAGAGGCACTGTCAGATGTCTGTAAGCAGAACAGAGCTCTGATGAGGCCGTCGTGGAAAGAATTAGCATGCGTAGAAAGCTATGGAAGTGATACCATGATATGTTATCAATCATAATAAATCAATCATAATAAATCACATCAGTAATTCCAGAACATTGTTGAATACATGCTTCATAAAATCATAAAACAATGGGCCAACAAATTATGTCACACAGATTAAGACAAATACCGTATTTTTACAAATAAACAACTGCATAGTAACAGGAAACTGCTTAAATAGTGGCCAATTACACCACTAGCTTTTTGTTTGATTTATTTATTTATACATTTATTTCTAAGGCTGCAAGATTGAAATGGTAGATTTTTGCTTTAAAGACACAATCAGCAATTTAATAATTTAATTTTAGTCAGTTGCAATTTAATGGTGTAAATTAAGGCCCTTATTTATTACAATTTGTGTGATTTTAATGACTTACAAAACTGCATCTGATTCATGAAACATTTGTATGACCTGCAAATGAAACTATTTTTATTCATTTTTTGGCAGTGCTGTTTTGCTGGGGCACTGTGTCCATTTCAACTTATTAGCAAACCTCAGATAAACTAAACATCATTATTTAACTGCATCATGAAGTAATACTGTATTATGTCTTCAAGTATCACAAAATGACAGCAAAAATTTGGCCTGATCACAAGTGCCCTTGAGCTCAAGAAAGGTGCAAATAAAGTATTATTAATATTATTATTATACATTTTTGCCAGTTTGTCCACCCCTTAAGAAAAGGCAAAGGAAAGTTACTCACTTAAGTCGCTCTGATCTGGAGGCTCTCAGCATCAGAAAAATGAAAAAGCCCACTTCGGTGTTTAAG